TGAAGTATTGTGATGGGGTGGAGAGGACCTGGTGGGAGTAGCAAGGGGCAGGAAAAGTACTACACTTAGAACATGACTACATGTTCTAACTGACCACATTCAATAAACTTATGAAGCAGATATAAACTACCAAATCCCTGGAGGCAATAGCAACAGCCTGAATATGCTAGTCACTACTTCTCAGATCTGCAGACTGAAGGGAGGCTGAGATTACCCAAGGCCAGAAACTATGATATGGCGATGAAAGTATAGAATTGAGGTAGGATAGCTCTTTATTTGTTAAGCACATGAATAATTTTTTTCTTTGAAAAAAGAGACTAAACTGGGTACTGGTGTCTCTGCTTACAATCTCGGCTATTTGGGAAGCTGAGATCTGGAAGACTGAAGTTCCAGGTCATCCCAGGAAGAACAGGCAGTGAAACTCTCTCAATAAAAAACAAGCTGAGTGAGATAACATGTAAGCGACATCTCAGCTTCAATAGGAAGCATAAGATAAACAGGTTACTGCCCAGGTGTAAAACTCAGCAGCAAATAAGACCCTAGCTCAAAATAACTAGTGCAGATAAAGGCTGGAGGCATGGTTCAGATGGTAGAGCACTATACTTGTAAGAACTAGACCTTGAATTCAAACCTCAGTACTGCCAAAACAAGCAAACAAATCTCATTCCCTTTAAATACAAAGCTATTTTAATTTCATTAAATAGGACTGGGGAATCCTCTAATGTGTTAAAAGAATTCTTTGTTTTCTTGAACTGTACAGTCAGCTAGTTCTTCAGAATCACTGGCATCATTAAGATTCTAAAACCTACAAATGTACTCCAAAAGAGGTAAAGAACAAGTACTTAGTCAATGCCCTATAGTGGAAGACAAAAAGAAGAGAGAAGGACTAATTCTAAGGAGAAAGGGACACAGGTTTCCTGGTGATACATTTAATGGTAGTAGTGAGGGGATTGGTGAAGGATGAGCAGGATTTCTTTGGAGGAAACCAGGAGGGAAGGAGGAGAGGATGTTTCTGGAATGATGAACAGAATGTAAAAATTAGCTGGGAAAAATGACAAATTGGGTTCGATTTTTAGGGGTCCTGAAGAGCCTTTAAGGGGTTTCTACCTTCTGTGGGACACAGTTGCAGTATTTTGGCAGGGGGTAACATGTAATTAGCAATGCAGTCTATTTACTTGCTTCCTCACTACTAATCTTCTGCAGTCTAAAACTTCAGAAATTCTAGAGATTAAGTGTCTTTCATTTCTAATACAGAACTTGGCTTTCTACTGTTTTTGTTTTCAAGTTTTGTGGTGTGATAAGGAGTAAACCTTCTTACTCTTCATGCTTGCAGGTGAAGAGTGCCATCCTAATCCTCAGGGCCAGCTGCAGCTGTTTTCTAGCAGACCTTGCCTATTGATCAAGCTAGAGGCAATCTTGGCACTGCCTACATGATGGTTTTGAAGGTATACAGAACGCAAGAGTTATGGAATCATGGAAGCTGCCACCCATATTTCAAAGGAAGACCCAGAATGCCAGGCAATGGGTCAGGATATCTGTAGGCATCCTCCAAGAGGAGGAAGCTGACAATATAGGCTAAGCTACAACAGAGACCCCCAAAATGATGGAGAGGCCAGCTATATGGAACATCTGCTAAGGATGTTAAGGAAAACATCAAGCAACAAGTGGAGCCAGCCCAAGAGAGAGGCTACCTGGGCTGCAAAAGGCAAACCACAGGGAGAGGCTCTCCATGTCAGTTGGAACTTACATCTCACTATCACATGCTTCAGATACTGGACACAGAGCTACAGAACTTAGTATTTGTTCTGAAGGTTTTTAGTCTTGTTTTGGTTAGTTTGTCTAATTTAGTTTCTTTTTTATTCTCCTATTTTTCATCTTTGGAATGAGAATATTTATCCTATGCCTTCTATACTGGAAATATGTAACTTTTTTTTAACAAGGGCTCATAGCTAAGAATTTGCCTTCAGTCTTAGAGGAGGTTTTAAACTGGGGCTTTTCAACAATGATGGAACTTGAGCTTTTTAGGGGCCAAAATTGGAATATAGTTAAAGAAGGGTATTATTTGGCTATGAAGTTGACATGGATATACTTGTGATGATTAATCTTGATTGTTATGAAGTTGACATGGATATACTTGTGATGATTAATCTTGATTGTTAATTTGATGGACTGGGAAGCAGCTAGATTAGTAAGGTTATCTCTGGGTGTATCCGTGTATCTGTGTATCCATTAGGATGACTCCAGAGAGAATTACTGTAATTAGAGTTCTAGAAGGGCCCATTTTGAATGTAGATGGCATCACCCCATAGGCTAGGGGCAGATATAGAGTAAAGAGGGAAAAGAAAGCCATATAGCAAAGGCATGCTCTGCTCTATCTATCAGCTTCCTTGGCTGCCATGGTATAAACTGCTCCATTTTGTCACAATTTCCCCATCATGGTTTACTGAAAAACATGGGTCAAAACAAATAATTTTTCTCTTTAAAGAGTTTTGTCAGGTATTTTTCCACAATGAAGACAAATATAACACACTATCTTCTCGGTTTCATAAGTAGAAAATTAAGTGAAATCAAATATTTGAGATGTTCTCAAAGCAATGATTTATGCTCTGAAATATACATAATATATTTATACACCATATACATACTGATGAGATTTTATCAGTCACTCCTGATCTGACCATTCATATTGCATACATGCATTAAAGTGCACATTATACCACAAAAAATATATACAATTACCATGTGTTAGCTAAAATATGTTAACATCTGAAATGTTTCTACTTTCAGAATCTTTTTTTTTTTTTTTTGGTCTGGTCAGGGGCCTGAACTCTGGGCCTGGGCGCTGTCTCTCAGCTCTTCAGCTCAAGGCTAGCGCTCTACCACTCTTGAGCCACAACGCCACTTCCGACTTTTTTTCTTTTTTGCTTATGTGTTGCTGAGGAATCGAACCCAGGGCCTCATGCATGCAAGGCAAGCGCTCTACCACTGAGCCACCTTCCTAGCTTTCAGAATCTTTTTTTGCAAGAATGCCAACTGAATTTATCAAATTCTTCTAGTAGCAGCCTAAAACTAATCATTTGGCTTTTAATAATCTTCTCTATAGGCTTAATTAACCATATCAGACCATTATACTACAATTTGACCATTTTAGTCAAACTATACGATCAATAAATTATACAGATTTGTATCTTGATTTTAAAGTTATGGTTAAGACAAATGGAAAGGACCTAGTTCCTAGGTTTGGGAGACCCCAAGAAAACAACTATTATTTTAATAATACACAAATATATAGTGATCAATTATTTTCCAAAAACTTCAAATACATTATCTTTATCAAATACATTAATCTTTATCATAGAAGACAGTCTTTATATTTTCATATTGTATTTTTATCTTTATTTAAAAGATGAATTCAGAGATGCTAGGCCCAAGATTCCATGGCTTATAAATTATAGCTGGAACTCGAACCCAAGTTTTCACTTTGGGGTCCAGGAATTGCTTAATACTACTAAAAGAACCTTATTATGCTCACAGAATAGCTCTGTAGTTAGCAAATAGTATTAAATAAATATTCATGGATGACCTAACATTACTGCAATTTGGGACAATTTTTTTATGCCTAGTCTTAAATTGCTAATCAATGTTTAATAAAGTTTTAGCTTAGGTGAAAAGATACTATATAAAAATGTATATTTACAGCTTCTAATGCCTAATACTTGCTTGACAAATACATAGTAGGCTATTACATAGTAGGCTATAACTAGAGTGGATAAATGCATCTGTATAAGAATATGGCACTCTGTACTACACTTCAATTTCCTGTTAAGCAAAAATATGACCTCGAGTGAGTAAAACCTCAAGAATGATATTAGATCACTTATCTCTGTTACCCTAGATATCAACAAAATAAAGTAGGTAACTCCATAAATCATCTCACATACACTCATTCACACACTTCACTCTTTTGCTATAGTACTGTTACAACATGAATATATTGCCTTTCTTTGTCATTTTTCATCAGTAAATCTTTTTTTTTGGGGGGGGGTCCGGTTGTGGGGCCTGAATTTTGGGCCTGGGCGCTTCAGCTCAAGGCTAGCGCTCTACCACTTGAGCCACAGCGCCACTTCCAGCTTTTTTCTTTTTGCTTATGTGGTGCTGAGGAATCGAACCCAGGGCCTCAGGAATGCAAGGCAAAAGCTCTACCACTGAGCCACCTTCCCAGCCCTCACCAGTAAATCTTTATCAGATACTTTTCCAACAAATATATGCCTTCAAAAAATCTGGTATAAACACCAGGAATCGTTTTTTAGAGACAAAAATGTGCTTAATATCCAGAGACTGAACGTGACCCTTAGCTACATATCTATCATACAACAGTTACTCAAATACAGGTGAATTCTAAATACAACTATTTCATGTTAAAGATTACAGAAATATCCTCTGTCCCAAATTTGATTTCCTTAAAACCAACCTAGAAAATAAAATGTGGGCAATACTGACTATAAACGGGTCAGCAATGTGTCCAACAACTAAGACAAATATTTCCTATTTTATGTATAGAAATGACATCACTAATAAAAAATTACTACATACTTTGAGACTTTTCCCTATTCTTTTATTCCTAGTACAGACTCGAGACATGGACTGTCATATCAGTTGGTATTTCCCATATTTGGTCTGTGTAATGTAATAGGTATGCATTTCTAGCAAATGTATCAAGCCTTCAAGATTCCTACTCTACCAATTTAGATTTCCTGACCTGGTTTGCCTGAACAAGGTGGATCAACTTACCTTATTATGTGAAGTTCAAAAACGAGCCCAAGGTTTAAGGTTTTGCTTATAAGGAGACTTCGTACTTAAAAATACTACAAGACCCCAACATTTGTCAGATGGAATCCATTGTTTTTTACCCAGGCCTACTGGGGACATGCCACTGTGGCAGTGAATACCTGCTCTGCTATCCTAACGAGCTCCTGGGGGTGGGAGATGCAAAGACTCACTTTTGGCACATGAGGATTGAATTCCACAGCTCTATGAATGGCCTCTACTGCATTCATCTCTGCTGTGCTCAGCCCCCGTCGAGATGCAGCCTCTGGAGAGAATCTGAAAAGCAGCAAGACAAACACCATCCAGTTGGGACCACTGCTTGGGCATACACTCAGAGAAGCATCTACACATCAAGGGCCCATAAAATTACAGCAAGCCAATGGCATGAGCTCACCAAATTTCCACTACATGAACCTCTGAACGGCCCCTTAAACTGAGGCCAACAAAAACCCCAGCAGAAGCAGAAAGCATCTTTCAAGGCAGAAGTTAAGTTCATCTGTCAAGTCTCTCTGTCTAAAAAGCTAATCTAAATTTTCTACAAGGTACCTGGGCTTAAGTGAGAGGCGGGAAGTAGGGAGGACTGATGAGGGCAGACAGTTGTAGGAAAAAGAGGAAACTAGGTTATAGAAGAGCGCACTTGGTTAAAAACAGAACTGGAATTTCAAAGGAGGCTCCCCACCCAATGTCAGTGCTGCCATGGAAGTTAAGTTGGCAGCTTCGGCAGTAGGCAAGCCTGCTTGGGCAGTTTGGCAGGGGATGTGCTTGCCCCAACTGCGGGCGAGACACTTGCCCCAGGGAATGAAAAAAACAAAAAACAAAAAAACAAAAAAACAAAAAAAAACCAGACCATGCAATCTCTTTCTCACCTCACACCCAGGGCTAACTCCAGAGCTGTGCTTGGCAGGCAGACACCACAGGGGAAGCTGTGACAACCCTGGCCCTGCCCTCCCAAGCTGGAGTCGCTGTGTAGGGAGAAAAGATGTTGCAGTAGGTACTGGCGATCTACAGGATAAAAAAGAATGAAAGAAAATTACTTCGGTCTTGAAGTGCACACACACTTAACAGCAAACCTGTCTGACACAGCAGAGGGTGGTTTCCTGTTCTCTGCTTTTCGATGCTATGGAAGGACTGCATTGGGGGAAGTATAAGCATTTGTGAACTCAAAAACAGTTAAGTGTTCTTTTCACCTGCCCATCTTCCTTGGATGAAGAGAGTAGCTCTATATGCCACAGTCACCTGCCTGAATAAAATGGGAAAATGTCCCACTGAGAAGGGACAAAGTAAACAGACCCTATGTGGGAAGCTAATCTGGAATTCATGAGGCAAAGAATGGGAGATGACCATCCCTAAGGCCACATTGCATTACCCAGTCGTGGACTACTGAAGGGAGTAGAATATGCAAAAATTGAATAGAAGAACAGCATTCTGCATAACTTCTAAGTAGGTCTTTTGTTACCTACTGTCTGTTAAAAAAAAGTCACTTCAGAGGCATAAAATTTCATATAAGTCCCTTTTTAGAGACCCACACACTCTTACAATACCTGGGGATACACATTTCCAAGTTCTAGTAGTGGAAGAAAAGATCAGCAGGTTTTGGAAAGTGCATGCTCACAAGCAGGGGTCTCACAGACTACGAGAAACTTCCAGAGAAAGTCCTCAGAGGGAATAGGTCTCTTTAAGTCTGCTCAGACATTAAGTACCGCGCAAGTTATTACTCACTTACTTGTCAGAGACAGCTCTTGCTTTGAGCAAGGCGGCTGTGTAGCATATTGTTGCCGACTTTGGTAAGCTTATGTCTGTTAGAGAAAAAGAAAATAAATTTGCATAAGAGAACAGTGATGTCTTTTTTAACACACATGCATCTTGGCAAACATGTTAATCAAATAAGGTACATTTAAGAACAGTTTAATCACTGCATAAGAACTTCTGCTACTTTTAACGAGAACAAAGTGGTATATGCAGATTCGTTCTTATTTCTGTGAATAATCCATGTTTCAAATCCACCAGGCTTGTTCTTGGACCATTGTGTTCTACTCTAAAATATGCAATTTCTTATGTTGAGTTTAACCAGAGAATAGCTACTATAAGCTTAGTTACACAAGTACCAGGTGATATGACAAGTAAGCAGGACCTCTGTCAGTTATAAACATTACTGAATAGGCATATGAAATACCAATGAGAAGAAAATCATTTTATTTTTTAAAATCCACAAAGCTAAATTAATTATTCTTTAGTGGCCAAATTTAACACAAATTTCTTTTTCGTTAACTGTCAAGAAGCTCATAATCAGCTTGCAATAGTATTCATTAAAAATGTCCAAGTTTAAGTCAGAAAATGTAAACACAAATGTCTCTAATGTATTAAATACGTGTGTGTGTAATTTGTAAAGAGTATCTATATATGTAAAGAGTAGAGAAGTATGATAGAGCATGAAAATAGGAAATATTAAAGAGAATTTACAATTTTTAGCCAGTTACAATGGCTTTACACTATAATCTTAGATACTTCGGATTCAGAAATCAAGATCATAGCTTGAGGCTAGCTAGACAAAAATTAAGACCCCCCTCATCTCAATAAAAAGCTGAGTGTGGTGGCACACATTTACCATTCCAGCTATGTGAGAGATATAAAAAGCGGAACATTGATCCAAGCTGCTCTGGGCAAACATCACAACATTCTTCCTAAAAAAGTAACCTTAGCAAAAGGAGCTGGAGCATGGGTCAAGTCAGAGAGCACCTGCCTACCAAGCATAAGGTCCAGACTTCAAACCGAAGTACTGCCAAAATAAAAAGGTATATCAAATTTGCCTTCATTCAAATCTCTGATAAGCTTCCTTTCATACGAAGCTTAATTTGTTTCCCAGAAAAACAGTTCCTTACAATAGTAAGGAAATTGAAGATGGGCCAGTCACCAGTGATGTATGCCTGTAATCCTAGCTACTCCAGGAGGCTACCCAGTCAGGAATGCCTGTGAGACTCTTATCTCCAATTAACTTTTTTAAAGCCAGAAGTGGAGCTATGGTTCAAGTGGTAGAGTGCTAGCCTTGAGCAAGACTCAGGGACAGCACCCAGGCTGAGCTCAGGACCAGCAATAAGTAAAAGGGAAAGAGGGAGAGAAAGAGAGACAGAGAAAAAGAAGAGGGAGGGAGGGAAGGAGAGAGGGAGGGAGGGAGGGAGGGAGGGAGGAAGGAAGGAAGGAAGGAAGGAAGGAAGGAAGGAAGGAAGGAAGGAAATTGCAGATGGAGTAGTAGGGTTAGGTAAGAGAAAGTATTTATAAAGGAAAAGTAGGGGAGCAGGGTGGGAAATAAATGTATTTAAAGTATAATTCCATTTTTTCCAAAGTAGGAAAAATTATCATTTCTTTACCACTCGTAACCAAATTTATGCTACAACACCAATCCTTTCCTAACTCAAAACAGGTAAAAAGACATGCCACCCCCAATTGCTATGAAATTCACTGTGGGAAAACTAATCAGACTGAGGAAATAACGATCTCTCTTGAGATGTACAGAACGGGAAATAACCTTCTGTGTGGGTGATTAGACCAGAAGTGTACCACTTAGCCATAAACCGCTGTGTGTGAAAAGGTAACACCAGCTTCTGCTCATTCATCTCCCATACAAAGTGCCCCTAAATAGCCTACTAGAAAGGCAGCTATTTAGGACAAGCTGATCTTCAGATCAGCTAGCTCATCCTAAGGCTCTGGCTTCCATCTAGCCAGCAGACCCAGCCTTGTCAGAGGAGCAACAACAGCACAGCACTGATAGGAAAAGAGGTCTATGTGATCTGGATCTTGTATAATATATTCAAGCAGAATTTCACCACTACACGCATACTATACAATGGTGTGCTTATGACTGAGAAGAAAAGAATGTCAGAATCATGGATTTGTCTTGTTACGCTGCCAATATCTAAACATGCAGCAGCTTTTTCAGCTTGGGCAATCAATACAGGGAACACATAGCTTGTTTCCCATGTTCTACTCAATCATTACTACTGAATGTCAATGTTTTTTTTTAACTAGATTAACACATCCTTGCTTAAAAGTTCAGACTTTTAAGAAAGTTTATCATTTTTAAGAATTATCCAAGGCTTGTTTCCACCATTCTTGGTAGAATCTATTTTTCTTAGGTCAAGCTGGCATTTTCCTGTGAGTAGTGAGTCCTAGGAAGGGGTTAGGGCTGAAAAGAATGATCATAATCACTGAAAAGTGGTAACAAAAGACACAGCCCCACTTGATAACGTAATAAAATCTTTTGTTATTAATGTTCATTGATCTCTAAGCAGGTCAAATTCTGTTTTCATGATTACCTAATCAATCAGATATTTTTCAATCAGCTGGAAATTCAGGAAAGAAGACACAGATGAAGTGTTCTATCAAAGAACTAGAGATGCTTAATCAAGGAAGGTCATAAATCTCAAATTGTAACCTGGCATGCACTCCAAAGAGGGGACATCCACAACTAGAAAAAAAATGCATTGCATTCACAAAGAGTAATATACTTATAGTACATTTTCCCCATTATTTTTTTCAGCTCTATTCCTCTCTTTTATTTAAATTCAATGCCATATGTACATAGGAATAATGCCTTGAAATCAAGTACAAATTTTACTATCACATGGGGGTAGGTGGAACTGTAGCCCTATGACATATTCTACTTTTCATTAGTGAATAGAATGCTCATTTCATGTCAAACTTTCAGACTAAATTGTGACATTATTTCTCACTACTTGACAAAAAGTTAAGGATATTAAAAAAAAAGTCTTGCATAACTTTCTTATTTATCTCTTTTCAGTATTGTCTTCTGATTCTGTAAAAACAATACATCTAGCTGAGAATGGAAATTTGTTTCCAAGGTGAGTGACAAATCACTTGAAAGAAACTGACCCTAACCTTCCATTCACACAGGGCTTCTTGTTCATAAAAGGAATCCCAAGACGGGGACACAAGAATTTTTATCTTTGTTGCTGTTTTTAATGTGCTATGTGATTTTTTTGTTTCCTTTGTATGTTCTTCCCCTATAACAATTTTCATTTTTTAAAGATGATGCGTATCCCTCTGCAGAGTACTTTGATAATATAAATGGAAAATTTTTACATTTTGCCAGCCTAATAATTTAACTTTTAAAACTTTAAGAAAATAATCATGACTCATGAGTGTACACAGAAGCTTCTCATCATAACATCATTTTTAATGATGGAAAACTGGAAGCAGACTCATTTCTGGTTGTAGGATACTGGTAAACGTGCTGTACATTCACAGGGGTATAATTCATGTAGCATTAAATCATGTGAAGGGAAGGTAGTCAATGATCTGGGTAATGTTGCAGTGTGCATAGAGCAGTAAGTAAAATAAGTGCTTTAAATAGTGGTTGAGAATCACTTATGTGTAAAGAGATAAAAGGACTCGAATAATATGTTATTCAAGTATCAATAGTATTTTTTCCTGGGTGTGACAATTACAAGCATTTTCTTCTGTGGATTTTTTTCTAATTCCCACGTTCATGTAACATACATGTTAATAACTGAAATTTTAAAGGATAGTCGTAATAGAGTGACAAATTCCTTCCACAAAATATCTGAATCAAGTTATAGGCAAATACACCAGCCAGAAACAAAGGTATGAAGTGCTGTTAGTATGCAGTTCCATCTTTGGGAAAGTTTGCATACTTTTGTCATGTGCCCCCTCCAAGACTTCACTTCATTAGCATATTTTAATCTAATAACTTTCATATCCAAACCAGAGGCAGAAATTGATTTTTGGCTCATTTTAGGAAAACCCCACAGAAGAAAATTTACTGGAGATTACTCATTTCATGAGCCCTATACTTCTTTCCTTCCTGCCACTTCAAAGTTGAGATTTATTTATTGTAGCCTTTTGTAATTTTAAAATTTATTGTTTTGCCATAACTATGAGCTCACAGGAATGTGTAAAGATAGTACAGATAGTACAGACAGTACAGTGCCAATCAAAGTGGCAACTCAGCTTCTCCCTATGGTAGCATCTTGTATAGCATATGTGTGTGTACGTTAAGTATGTGCCTATGTATATCAACCTTATGTAGCACAATATCAAAAAGTAAGAAACTGATGTTACTACAGTACTTGGTACTTTTTCCAGCATTTTACATCCATTTAAGTGTACATCTCTAACAATTTTTTTCCCATATCTAGATTCACATACCATTACCACCACCAAAATGCACAACTGTTCTATCAACACACACACACACACACACACACACACACACACACACACACACACCCATACACACAAACATTCTTTGTGTTAACTTTTTATATTTGTATCCTCCCTGTCACCCTCGTTCACTCATGACACTTATCTGTTCAATATAATTTTGTTTTCCTACCATGATTTCGGGATATTCTCAGTAAGGAAATGGATTTAAAAAAATGATGCAGAAAACAACTCTTGATAGTGATAAAAGCATACTGTCAGAAGTGTTTTTTAGGTTTTGGTGGTGCTAAGATTTGAACTCAGAACCTTTTGCCTGTTAAGCAGGGGCTATGCCACTTGAGCCATACCTTCAACCCTTTTGGCCTTAGTTACTTTTCAAATAGTATCTTACGTTTGTGCCTGTACTGTGGTCTACCTATTTATGTTTTTGTATAGTTGGGATGCATGTTTGTTTTGTCACACCCAGCTTGTTTCATTGAGATGGGAGCTGGGTAGAGAGCAGGTCTCACAAACCATTTGCTTGGCTAGCCTTGGGCCCCAATCCTTCTTACTCTACACTTCCCACTGTTGCAGCAAATTGATTTTTTGTTTGTTTGTT